TGAAGCAGTTTTTCTGAAACCACGTGCACCAATCAAACTGGCTGCCTTCAACATTCGCACACTTATGCAAGTCGGACAACAGATAGGGCTGGCAATGTCTTTGAAAGTCTATCCGAGACCCGTATTCAAGACTCTGGTGAAGTACTGCAAATTCGCTCTCCATCTGTCGCTTCAAAAAGCTTGTTTTACGTGCGTTTATCGGGGACCTTGTGACTTGAATACTCAGGTCGGGCGTCTAGGCACAGAAGAGAGTCGTTTAGGTGGCCGATGGGGACTTGTTGGTCGCAGGACAGATAACGGGGACTGTCCACTGCAACTGTGCACAGACCACAACCTGTTTCTGGCTAGCACTAACTTTCGACACAGTCATCGTCGATTTTCCACCTGGCGTCCTCCCTCTGCATCCCAAGCCTGGACTCAGATTGATCACATCGCGATCAGCTACCTCTGGCGTGGTTGTGTACAAAACTGCCGCTCCTTTGGAGTACCTATCTGGACTCTGATCATGCCCTGGTCTGCGCCAATCTTACTTTACTACTTTTCAGTGGCCAACGAAGTGACCACCACCAAAGTATTGATGTCAGCAAGTTGGTTGCAACTTCTATTGAAAGTAAGTATCGAACCGAGCTAGCTTCTAGGCTAGCTACCATCCCACTGAAAAGTATAGATGAGCATTGGTTGCAACTTCATGACGCCATCAAAATGGCGAGTAAAGCCGCTTGCGGCTTCGCGAAACGTCCCGCTTATGAGCACTGGGTTTCTTCAGGTTCCTTACAACTCATTGAAGCCCGTCGGTCTACTTCGGGTGACCGTGAGTTTGACCACAAATGAAGGATGTTACGTAAGGAAATTGGGCAAAGCTTGCGTAAGGACCGAGAAGCCTGGTGGTCGGAGCGTGTTAATGAGTTGTAAGCAGCAGCTGCATCTGGTAATTACCGGAAGCTCTTCCAACTCATCCGAGCCACTGGCAACAAGAAGTCTGATGTGAGCGAAACAATCTGCGAGGATGATGGGATGCCAATCACTAACATCCATCGACGTCTTGGACGATGGGCAGAATTTTTGAAGGACAGATCAACTGGCCTGCTGCTCCAGCAACATCGGTCAAACTGTCCTGCCCTCCATGGCCGGTGACGACTGATCCACCAAATGAGGCGGAAGTTCGCAAGGAACTCCAACTCTTGAAGAGCTACAAATCACCTGGCCTAGATGACTTACTTCCGGCTCTTTTTAAAGATAGTGGAGACTTTCTGACTAAGGAATCGACGACGTTGTTTACAAAGGTCTGGGAGCTAGAGAGTGTACCAACGTCATGGAATGAGTCGATAGTTGTCCCTATCTTTAAAAAGGATTCATGTCGTTCCTGTAACAACTATCGGGGGATAAGTCTACTTCCGATCGCGTCCAAGCTATTAGCTTCCGTCATACTTCTTAGGTTGTTCAAAACCCGAGAAAGATTGACACGCGAGGAGCAGGCTGGTTTTCGTTCCGGTCGAGGATGTATTGGTCATATCTCCACCCTCCGCCAAATGTTAGAGCACCGCCAGACTTATCAAAGGCCAACAATCGTAGTGTTTCTTGACATTAGGGCTGCCTTCGATTCGTTGAACAGAACTGTTCTCTGGGATTGTCTATTGAAGATGGGTGTGCCTGAGAAGTTTACTAACATCCTAAAAGCCCTATATGCAAACACCTCAGGCAGAGTGAAGGCATACAACCACCTCTCTCCATTGTTCCATTCACGAAGTGGTGTTAGACAGGGTTGACCAATCTCACCATTCCTCTTCAATTTTGCCATCGATGACATTCTGGAGGTTCGGCATCGTGTGTTAGGGAACAGAGACGATAATTCAATCGGTGTCACCAGCTTGAAACACCGACTTCGGTGGCTTGGACATGTTCTACGAATGTCGTCCCAGAGAATTCCACGTCGTGTATTATTTGCCGACTCTGGGACTGGTTGGAAAAAGCGGAGAGGTGGTCAGTATATGACATGGTGTCGTGGCATGAAAGAAAACTGCAAAGGGCTGGCTTGTGTTGGTCCTTCACGACTCCCTGGTTGGGGTCTGAGAGATGGTGCAAATAGTGGCCAGAGACGTTATCAGATATGGCTCAGAATAGAAGCCAGTGGCGATCCTGCTGTAACCTTCTTTTACTTTCTTTGTAAAAAGTTGTATCTTCCTTAACTGAAAGATTTCTTCTGATTGTACCTTTCCGTTTCCCCCATTATTACTATTACACTACCTTGCACTAATCTGTTCGTTATTGTTCTTTTTTAACGCTCCTTACCTTCTTTTTTTCTCTTCGAAGTCTCGTTGTTTTGTGTGGCGCATATATATTTGGTGCCCTCTTGTACCAATATTTATGTGTTCAAATAAAATAAATAATAAGTATAATAACAAGGGGTAAACTATTTTTGAAAGTAATCTTTTCCCATCAAAATAAACTAGTTTCATGAGGTCAATAAAATTAGATGCCTTGTTTCTTTAGACTCTTTCCTGAAGAAATTATTTGCATGACAATGGCCAGATTTACATATATTTTAATATGATCATTTTTTAATTATGACAAGTGGTGTAGTAAAAAGGGCAATTATTGGACAAATATAACTCACCATTGAGTCAGCAGTTCTTCGTTTGCTTATTTCATCATTATGAAAGAAACTTACTCAGGAATTAAAATTATTGATCATAGCCATACTATTTGTAGAAAGTTGAATTGTACCAACATTTAATCAGGGGTATAAATTGCTTACCATCTGGTATAAATGTTTTCATGTGAAATTTTTCTAGAACAGTAATAAGAAATCTATTAAATATGATCAAGATAAACTTGTAATTCTCTTGATTAGTACACAACAACAATGACTAGAACGTCGTAAGAAACATGAAACACGGTATGTTCAACTACTTATCAATCTTTTTCACTACTGTGTTAATCTCCAATTCTCTGAAAATTAGTAAAGTTTTCACTCTTGCAATATATAATGGCATTTGAAAAATTAAAACGTTTAAGCAAAGATTTTCTTTTCGACTATATCATGCACTAGAACTGTATATGATAATTACGCGACTGTATCTTTTTTTTCTTTATTTCAACTACTCTAGATCGTTTGTATGTTTCACCATGACCTGATAAACAATGTCCACGATCGACCTGTAGTAAAGAAAAAGAAGCTTAATCCATTAGTGTCATCGTCGAGTAAATCTGATAAGTGTGAGAAAAATGTTTGTACTGAAATACTACAAGAAGATCATTTGGATGGTAGTAATACTTACTCTTCAGGATTGATGACAAGACGTCAAAGCCTTTTGCGTCAGTCAACAATGTCCCAAGCTGAACATTGCAATGATATTAGTACGCCTAATAACAACGATAGTAATAATTCGACTAGTTCGTGTGGTTTAGAAACAACAAAACAAAATGACTGTCTTTCAAATTGTGTAAGCACAACACCAAATCGGACTATTGAGACCAACTAGAGGTTGGTAGATTAATTTCATTTTAATGTCTTTTTGTATATGTATAACTGTATTACTTATTTTTTTAATCCAAATAATAAAGCTTGTTGTTTATAATTTCCTGATTTGAAAAGCATATTGTGACGGTAGAAATTAAAATCAGACTCAATATAATTCAATGATGGCAACTTTTTTGTTTTATTCTAGGATTTAATACCGATTGGATGGTTTTTTCATTATTTTTAACTGTCTACAAGCTTATCAATTTCACAGAACTATTGAATTTATCAGCAAGTTTCGATTCACAGATGCGAATATTGTCTAATTAACAGATTATTTTTATTCAAGCTAAGATATTGCCCTTATATGGGCTAGTTATTGAATGAGAATAGCTATTTTCACCTACATTGATTATAAATTAATGTCTGTTGTATATTCAAAAGTGCTCGTCTTTTGAAAATATAATGGTCTTTTTCTCAGCGTTCAACTAAATGGATAGAAATGATCAAGGTGTTTAAGCTATCGTGCCCATATTTACAATCTTTGTTAAAATTTATTTAATCTTTCAAAGTTATTGTAGAGGATTATTAAGATTGCGTGAAAACAAGTTTTCATGATCACGATTCAAAATATCACTCTTCGAATCTTTATGTTGTATGCCTTTAATATCTACCACACATTTAATATGTTAAACTTGCACTGAGTATATCGTTTCACTAGATGAACGTCCACTGCTTCCACGTTTTTCATAGTGGTCTAGCTTTAATTGACTCATGAACTCGACTACTAAATTACTACAATCTCCACAAAAATCCCCTCCCGATTAAAAATTGTAAAGCAATAATCATTATTAATACTCTAAGTACTATATTGCACATCGTAAACAAGAAGTGTATATGTCATGATAAATAAGTAGGAAAGTAGAAGACAGTGAAGATCAAAAAAACATATCATCTTTTTATAAATCTACTCATTGTTAATGAAACAGCAATTAAAATAAATTAGGATATTAAAACAAAAATACTACATTAAGAATAAACTACCCATTTACATCTACAAAAGTTCAATATTTGACATGTCAATAATGATTACATAATGACATTATTTTATTTGTACAAAGATACAAACCATAAATAAATAAAATGTAAAGGATAAGAGACAAAATATGAATAGTAAACTGAATAAATGAACATTTCACTATTAATATTTATTATTTATCTTTCTATCTCTAAATAAAGAAATACTGCATTAGAAGATCCCTAATTGTTTTATAATTCTTTTTGATTGTTAGAAGCCTGTTGAAGAGGAAAAAGAAGGGTTGAATATGAGAGAGAAGGATAGGAATGTTTCGACTCATTGCTGACTTAATGTGACTAGGTTTAAAACAATAAACATAAACTGTAAGGTATTGTTTTTCTACTAAGAAATTATGAATATTTTTAAAAAATGGAGGAAATTGGTGGTCTGCTGAAGAAAGACATTGGCATAATCTACGTCCAGATAATTGTAGAGACAAGCAAGTGAAGAGCAACAATGACCTCAATGTAGACATAAACAATTCAGGGGGCAACATCTTTTGAATCGTTTTTGTTGACCTGTAATAATTGTTAACAAATATCAAAGTATGCATGAATAAGCATAAAAAGACATGTTTTTAAATTAGCAATGACATTGAAAATATGAATTAAAGCTGAGAACAATCGTCAATGTCAAATCCGAACGAATCAAAACTCAAACCCCATATGAATTCAGAATATTGATAATTGGGTTGGTGGTTCGAAGCTATGCTAGGGGGTGGGAATCAATAGTGGGAGCCTTAAAACGATGACCAGATTTATCTATGCTAATGTTAAAAGTCATACAGAATAGGACGGTTGACTCTTTGAGTTTTACTAGATTTCAAAGTACGATTTGAAGTAGTAACATCAAAGTCAGCTGTTACCAAAGTATGAATAAATCCATTCTTATTAGAGTTTACATTAAATTCGTTCATTAAAACAGTATCTTTAAAAAATTTTGAAAGGGCAAGAAGATAGAATTGGCCTTAAAAAATGTGATTTATATGCTCTATATGTTTCAAACACTCTGATTACACATTTACTTTCAAAGGTATTTCTTGTGAAAGGTCAAGTAGATTAAAAGTGATAACTGAAAATTAATGGGAGATAAGGTACAGCATAGAAATAATTAAAAGACTTTATATTATTCATGGCATTAATATGTTACGAACCATCAACCTAAGTTTAAAATGAAAAAAAAAGTTTTTGAACGCAAAAGTAGATTTTCTTAATACTCAAAATCTTCACAAATTTAAGAACCTATACCAATAGAAAAGTTTTTTAACTTTTATGTGGAAGGTGAAGGTTTAAAAATCTATCCTAATTTGGATGTTACGAGATGTTTTCTAGTTATAAACCATAATATGAAGGGACGTGTCTATCTACTTTTTGTGCTCACATGAGAATGACACCGAGAAAGCTTGAGACAATTCCAGTAAATGTCCAACCACCCTCAAGTACATACCTCGAATACCCCCTCCCCTATATTCATGTACACGCGCATGCACATATGTGAACGAAGTGGAATGTGTATCGTAATTGCCCACACGATGTTCGAAATTGTCTGAAATCATAGGTTCTCCCTTTGCAATGACGATCAACTGGGCAACATAATACCTCCCCGATGATTTTTCTGTCTGGGTTTGAAAATTATGATGGTTCACTTTTGCATGATATGATAAAAACCCTACTCGGCTTAGCAAGATATAGTTCTGTATACTATACGATCTATCTAACAAAGCTACATCAAACTGTGAATTACGTATAGCAAGTATATCTTCTGCATATCTTTTGTACAGGGTAGCCTCGCCGATGAGCTTCATAGTATGTTTTTCAACATATAACAAATACCATCTAAAAGTAATCCTAAATGACAATCTTTTTAAGTAGTTAACCCCCTTATTTTTTAAATAATTCGCCCTGAAAAGTTAATAGAAATAAATTTGTTTGACACCTATGCACACATATATCACATTTTATTCTGAGAACCCTGTCAATAAATGTTTCAATAAAAAGTTACCAACATTAGAAACATAGGTAGGTCAGGAGGTAAAATGATTTAGGAATAATGAAACCACTAAAGACGTTTTCAAAGGGCAAAGAAAGATCAGATACCTCTGACCTTCCACTACTTCAAAGAAATCATCTAATATGGTAAAACCTACAACGAACAAATGATATTACTTCTCTAATCCACCTTGATAGCTATAGGTCACTGTCGAGTAAAATCAATGATTTTAAACACCAATAAAGCCAATTACTTCAAAGCATGTGCTGAACTATCAAAAATAACTATTGGCTTTTGATTTGATAATCTACCAACAATCATAGTGTATTGTATGCGCATTAACTATGTTTATGGAGGTTTCCATAATAAAAGGTTTTCAAGTAAATCATTTTGAAAGGGCCCTTTACTGACAGTAATTTATTAAAAAGACTGATGGGAGTGTTTACATTTAGCTGGAAGGTGTTTAATTATACTTACCATTTATCCTCGCCAATGACATCGTTTTATGTTGAATTAAATGCATTGTAATCGTTTCAGAGGGTAGTTTCAATTCTGAAAATGAATTACACATAGATACATGCTGAACACTTAAAAAACAGGTGAGTCCCACCTAGTGATTTCAACACAATTAATGGTTATGTAGCAATTCCACAGTCAGATCTATTTATTTCAGTATACACAATAGGTATTTTTAGATTCTATATAAATGTAACTTATAACCTTATAAACGGTCTCTCAACAGTGTTGAAGCAGAATCTCCGAAAACTAGGATATTTCAGAAAAGTCATCAGTTCAATAATCCCCTAGTTTTAGTTACGTATAGAGTATAAGTGGGTGCCTTTGTCCCAGGGAAATGGGGTTGCTGGGGCTAGCAGCTGTAACGCCATCGAACAGTTGTCTAATTGGTTGTAATATAAACTATGGTGGTAAAATGTAGTGGAGAGGACTATTTATGAACAAACAAGAGAGAAACAAGTAAACACATTACTATATCAAAATAACCAGATGAACGGGAATAATCAGAGATAAAATAGGGTAAGATGCGATTCACACCGAGAAATGAGGTGAAGGTAAGACTGACCAGTAAAATAACTCCTTACTATATACAAGTGTACTTAACCGCTATTCTATGTGTAATACGATAACCCACAACTACATACACGACTATGTAGTCTCCTTAAACTGTCTACAGAGTCAGAGGCTGTGATTTCATTTGGTGTGAAAGCGTTTTCAGTAGAACACTCGTTGAGTAAAAAAGTGAGGTTTCGCTTCATCTATCACTTTGAATGAGTTAATTTCTAAGGGTTACCTTCGCGATGCGACTGCGGGCTCCAGGTAGAATAACTTCAACCATGTAGCCTGTATTCAGTATGTCCTATAACAAGATCAGACCGTTTCTTACAAAGCCCCCGTTGGTGAAACTAATAGTCAAACGGCTCGTTTATTCTTTTTGCGGCTTGCTTTGCTGAAGATCTATATGACAAGCTGACTAAGCATAACTTAATTCTTTAGTACTAGATCGTAAATAACTCACTCGTCCTTTACAGTAGATTGAAACAGAGCGTATCACATGACACTATCAGAAAAAATGACAAACATGACACGAACTCGAAGCATTATAATAAATACACTGATAAGCTATCAGGTATTCGTGGGGAAACACACCTGACAGTTTGAGAGTGCCATGCAAAAATCGGCCTTGGAAAATAAGTTTCAAGTGATTTGAATCTGGCCTCTTTCCCAAACCTATTGAACCATTAGTAGTACTAAATGACTTACTATCGGGCCAATCACTGAACAAAGAAGAAGTAATTTGCTCAACTGTAGTATCTTGGTCATATTTATGCTCAAAGAATGATCCATCAGGCATCAATAACTTCAAGTGCACCTATACAAAGACAGAAAATCAGAAAAATTAAAATTACTGCCATTGTCACTACTATTGACGCTAAACTGTTACACTAAGATTCGAAAACTGTGAAGACTACATTAAGCTTCCCTAGACTGTAACCCAAAAACTTGGAATAGCGCCACCCGTATTCTACATATTAGGATATTAAATCAACTAACCATCATAACATTAAGTGGATGTCAAACTACTCAGTAAAGTAAAACTCACATTTTCTAGTTGGTGGACCACTGCCAACCTTCATTTTTCCATTCATCGTGGGATATTTTAACCCTTAGAAATTTTGCTTCTATTTAAAGTTGGAGATTCTATTCGAACTCATTTCAAATCTATGAGTCATCAGATAGAAGTATAGCAATACGAAAAGGCTTACAAAATGCATGGATCTTCATCCGAAAGTTTCTGGATCTGTGAATGATTAACCAATGATCTAGTGAGTACCTAATAGTAGTCTGTTACACTTTAAAATAAGTAGCTTTCTAAACGATTGACTAATGTACTAGCCTTTGTAGCTCTGGTTTGTGTTGCGAACTAATAATGACCGGTGAAGTTTCTCGGTAATATTCTTGGACTTTATAACAAAGAGACCTCTCTCTTCACTGACGTGTATACGAACACAGACTGGGAGCGGTATCACTTGTGCTAGTACACACAGACAACCATAGACAATGACTTAACTGGGAAAATGTTGAAATTCTCAATTGATGGAATTCTGGAAATATACAAGAATTCATTAAAATGTGAAATTCTGACCCATCGATAATCTAAAAGCACGTCAGCGTATACCGTCTATCAACGTACCTAGAAAATGTCAATCAGTCCTAAAGCTTAACCAAGAATGACGGTAGATTTGCGAACAAAAGCGAGTGAGAGCTGAATACCTGCGAAGATAATTAGCCAAAAGTTACTGTATTCTATATGTCAGGGATAACCGGTTTTACGAAGTAGAGTAGAAATCTTCGATGCATGGTGTGAAATGGTGATCTAGATAGTGTCACTAATCTCGAAAGCTTGTTTACGTAACCGACCCATCTGCTAGTTTATCACGACAGTAGTATAGACTCAGATTATGTAAGAAAACCCTTCAAGTTCAATAGACATTCTAATATTGTAGCAGAAGCCTCATCACTGAAAGACATCAACACGGTGGTGCGAGAACAAGATATCAATCTTGAAACCATGGCCAAGTTACACGTAGACGACGCAGGTTCAAAACCTGCATAGTTCCATGAGTTATCGCATCCTGGGATGTGAGCTATAGCAAAACTCATCATGAAACTGTTTGTTTGCCTGAAAATTGACGCGTACGTGAAAAAAGTGGACAAGCTGCACACAATCCCAGAGCAGCAAGGTCCGACGGTGTACAGTCACTGTTCTTGAAGAATTTCCAGTGCTCGACAGGCTTTTTTGGGCGCGCGCATCTAGATTTCTTTCACCACCCCCTTCCTTCCAACCCTTCTATACGCATAACTCTACACCAGTATTTTTAACTGAAGACGCGTATCATATTTCGTAATGGGTTAACATAAGCAAAAATTGATTGAGAAAGTAATAGCAACTCACGTGCAATTGAGTTCGTTCACATTTAATTCGGTTAAGTAATCTTGTTAACTTATTAACGAACTGAGTCATCCGTACAACAACAACTCATCTATATCATTGTATCTTTATTATTGTTGCGAATGTATGAACATGTATGCTTGAGCATTGCTTACTGCCTACACGCTGCTAGCCCTACTACTAACCGCTTAATTGATTCGATGATTCATCCATCTCACTCTGTATATATATGTCCATGTTATTCATATTCGCTGCTCTCTCTCGCTTGATTGTACTCGCTTACTCGTACTCATATTCGCTGACTCACTCGCTCGCTCGCTTGCCTGCTTGCCTTTAGGCGCAACTCTTTCATACTTGCTTAACGCACTTGTAATTTTGGATATCTGTGTGTGGTCCCGTAATAAACGTAATCAACACTTCGTATTCGCCTTCTGGTTAATATGCCGTTGGGGCGTTATCTAGTGACGGTTATCAAGACGAACTGTATACGAAGGTTAAGGGTTATATTGAATAACGACCACCACAAGGTTAAAGTGAAAATGATGATTTACAATAGACTGTACTTCTTTAGTCGTACCTACCAATGTAGAATTATAGTCTTCTTTGTTATCAGTACTGGCCTAATAATAGACCTAATCCTAAAATCGTAGTTATGTCATGATGTGATTGCCTAAACTATAAGATCTTACTTGGAGGTCACAACATTCTCTACACTGACTCGTCGTATCGCAAGAATTAACGATATGATACTTAGCGCTTCTGTAAAACACATTTGGGCGGAAGATGCGGTAATGTATTTAACGTGAATAAATACAAGTTAAACAGAATAACCACGCCTTCACGGCTAAACCGTACCAACCGAATGAATGCATGAATATTCCCGAGTTCATCACTGTTGGCGTTCCCTCAGTGTTAACTCTTTAATATTTATTTTCTCAGTTGCCAGATGTTCAGCTTTGAGTATTGTGCAGTAAGAATCAATACCACCACGTTATGCAAGACACTTGTCTCGGCATCAGCAATCAGATGTCTTAAAACGTTTTCGTCTTAGAGCTATCGAAAACGATTGAAGGCAGGTAGTGTGAGCAATAATGACGAAGTTGACGGTTGTCAAGACGAACTGTATACGAAGTTTAAGGATTATATTGAATAACGACCGCCACAGAATCGGCGATCCAACGTGTGAGCACGAAACAATCTTCAACGACATAATCCAATTCCGAAAATCCAACGCACCCTCTTTCAATTCGAGCTGTCATTTGGATTATAATCATAACTGTGGATTTGTCATGTCACTATTTTAATTATACGTACATTATCTCACAAACGTTATTGAATATAACGACAATATTCATAGTAAACAACGATATTTTACAAACAGATGATATTTTGGTGCAATTTAGTAAATCCATTCTTTGTTATAAATTGTACCATTTGTTATTATCATTGTTTTTACCGATTCACTTCTCTCTGCAACATTCACATTATATTCGTGTACTTTTTGATCTTTATAAATATGTCTTTAAGTAACGACACAAGAGACCCTTCACAAACTCCATCCGTGAGGTCCACTAGTGTAACTATTCCCCCTTATAAGGTCACAGATCCTCAACTTTGGTTTATCAGACTTGAACATTACTTTGTAGCTAATCGTGTTCCTTCACAGCGAGATAAATTTGGCCACAAGAGCTCACTACTCCCAGATGAAATAGCAGACAGTGTACGAGAGGTTTTAACTAAGCCAGACATATAAAAGCCATAGGACGCACTAAAACAGGTAGTGATTAAAGCCGTCTCATTAAGCGACCGGCAAGCCGTCGAACACTTACTCAGTCAAGGAGTGTGGGAGTGAATCTGTTTTGTACACATCAATCTCCATCTAAGGATATCACATGGTTTACAAAACAGTAGACTGTGGACATCTCAGCAGTTATACAGGACTCAAATAGACCATATTGCCATCAGTCATTGCTGGATAGGCTCTTCAGAATACTGTCACTCGTCTTGGAATATCTGCTTGAACTCCGCGCATGCTAATACGAGCATGCATTCGCTTACGCATCTCTGGACGCAAAGAAGCACATTAAAAGGTTCATTAGAATTAAAATGGTGATTAGAAAGCCAGAAGTATACTACATGAACAACTGAAGTCACACTTTGGCGGTTTTGGAAACGAAGCTAACCCAGATGTTGCATGGAAAGATATATAAACATTTGCGGAAACACCATTGACAACTATTGCTAATTTAAACCAAAGGGTAACAAAAAATCATTGGATTTTTGCTAAGTTTATTGCACTAATGAATTCTCTTAAACTCATTCCATCAAGCTCGGAACATGATGAAAAGCAAAAACAAATCAGATCTAGGTTAACGAAAAGTTTAAAGAACGAGCAGTGGTGGGCAACGTAAGCTAAAGAGATGGGAAAGATTGTGGCTGTAGGTAACACAAAACAGCTTTTCAGAACCAGATTAAGAAGTCACGTGTAAGTTAGACAATCTCAGAAAAAACGACACTTAACTGCTCTGTTTATGACGACGGGAGGAACACTTTAAGCAGCAGTTCATCCAGCCTGAATGGAACACTTAAGTAGGTCTCCCGACTATAATTGAAATTCGAAAAGCCATAGCTAATCTGAGACAAGGAAGAGTAGTTCGTCCAGATAGATTGGCTCCAGTGATCCTTAAATATGGTGTTCTGATTTTAGCGATTAGGTTGATTAATGTTTTAGCTAAAATCTGGGAGTTGGACGTATTCCCATCTGACTGGTCACAATCATTTATTGTCTTGATATATAAGCAGCGGTCAACATCATCCTGTGAACACCGTAGAGGGATTAGTATGATTAATATTGTATCTAAAATACTAGCCTCAATAATTATCGGACGCCTAGCAAAGACCAATGAACCGCTACCACGAGAGAATCAAGCTGGCTTCAGACCTGCTCATGGCTGCATTGATCACATATTCACCATTCGTCGGGTTCCAGAACACAGGCATGGTTATCGGCGTCCGACAATGGTGGTCCTTCTTGACTTAAAAGCAGCATTCGACTCTGTAGATCAAGAGGTTCTATGGAATTGGAAGGTGTACCACAGAAGTACATAAACCTTGTGAAGGCTCTTTACTCGAACACTACTAGTTGGGTCAGAGTTCATGGTGAACTGTCATCTGATTTCGCAACCACAAGTGGTGTCCGCCAATGCTGCCCACTATCTCTATTTTCGTTCAATTTCATCATAGTGATTATACTGGAAATACCGTTGTCGTCGTCTGAATGTTCAGGAATTGATCTACCAGGAGGCTCACTTGTTGACTTAAAATACGCAGATGATATAGTCCTATGTTGTGAGGACGCTGGTAAAATACACAGTCTATTAACGGCAATCAACAACAATGCCAGGATGTTTATGATGCGTTCCTCCCCCTCTGAATGCAAGTCGTTGCTTCAGGACTGGTCTG